GCCAGAGGAGATGTCACAGGGAAATGAAACTTGCAGGATCTAGTATTCATTATGAGTCTCACAACTTGTATATCTCGGATTTTTCCTAAAGGTCATATGAGGTCAGGTCATTTTCGTGACCTCACCATTATAAGTCAATGGGGAAAAATTCAAACTGCTATTCTGGCGCCGGGAACGATCTCCAACTATCTCAAGCACACAGAATCGTGATTTGATGCACTCCTTGCAAGGTTAGATGCGTCACTTTTGCAATGTTGACCTTCCGTGACGTCATTTATGACGTCATCAAGGTCATATTAGTTTTTCGTCAATAACTCCCGATCAAATTGAGCTAGCGAGTCGGGAAAGCCACCAATGGACTCAGGAAGACCTGCCGAATCGAATGATATGCGACATGACCTCTTTCGACCAACTTCGTGACCTGGGGGTGCTGACCTGACCTTGACCTGAGGTCAACACCCCAAGTTGACCTGACCCGGACAAAAAGTATATCATTCGACGCGCCTGATCAAGGCGAACACGATGCTGCCAAAATCGCGGCTCTGCGGCCGTTTTTTGCGAAGTTATTCACCAAAAACTGAACCGTACCCTGGGGCACTTGACCTGACCTCAGAGGTCACCGGTTGACCTAGGACCTTAAAATCGGGTACCAATCTCTGCGTCTCGTAACGGCGCACACGCTCGTTTTTTCCGCGACGCGCTAGCTCCACCAGGGGCGAAACGGCGAGGGGGGGGGTCGTACCCGCCCCCCCCCCCTCGGCCGGCGCGTATGTAGAAAACCAATAGGTCCGGCGAGGGTTAAATGGGCCATGCCTGCACTCTTGAAATGTTTATTAGGGCAGATGTTATTGATGTAAAGAAGCGTAGAGGGTTATTCTATCAAGCACACCCTAGCATATGGAGGAACAGCATACCGAAGCCATCCCATCCACACATTCATTTCTCTCTTGAGATGAAACGTAAGGAAGACAATATATCGCGTGTCTAGTTTGGTGGTTATCGCTGGGCATATACAACCGCATACCACCTATCATCAGCTCATCTATTTGGTCACATCGACATCATATGCTGACCGTACATATGTTTGAAAAAGCACTGGTTGAAGATATACTTCAACGGAAGACATACCCACATGACAAGCACAGGCTTCATGCTGAGGTCCGTTTCCAACGACGAGGAAGCAAGAGACACACACACAAGTTCAAACGAAACAACTAAACCACCTGAACCTCCACGCTTATAACGGTCCTCTCGAAACCACAGCATCGTCACAAGAAGCGTCACCCGCAGTTCTTTGCTGCCTCCCCGGCGAGCGCGGATAATCCGCCACCGACCAGCCCACGGCGTGTCGCGAATGTAAATTCGGCACCGATGCAAATGTCACCGACTGGACAGGCACATGCCAGACCCGCGATTGTGTGTCACAGTATGCATGGCCAGGCGAGTTGTGGGTCGCTGCGGCTGTAGCGGTCAACGGTGCGGTGAATGCAGGGCCTCTGCGCGGTCCAGCGCGCACGGAAGTAGTATTTAGATATTGATGGACTAGTTTGAAGGGCTATGGATAGCTTGGGTTTGTGGAAACTTTTAGGAAAACTCTGGAGAGATATGGGGAAAATGTATGTTATTCAATAATTGAATGGGTTATTATGAGCTAAAGTTTTTTATTAAATCGTATGTTAAATCAAGTTTTTAACTTCATTATTATAACCCAGCATATGGCGTTATGCTTAAATTATTGATTTTTTGAAGCGTCGTGTAAATATTCCCCAAGTACGATGTGACCATTTCTTGGTATTTCACCACAGTACCTTGAAACACCTAACTGATTACATCCCCGATAATAGCCCCATCCCTTACGTAACCCATCTCTTGCAGGGCTATTTCCTCACCCAGCCCCGTATTCCTGCACCCCTCTGCCGCCCAGCCGCCCGGCGCACAGTGGGTCCCCTCGGCGGCCTGCCTGTGCCTCTGTCGTGGCGAAAGTTCGTCCCTCTCGGCCAGAAGACGTCACCTCCTCTGGAGTCGTTTTTGTGGGTCGAACCGCGGCCAGCCGGCCGGTCAGCTCAGTAGGCTCAACTCAACTCAGTGGCAGCTATAGTGGTGGATCTGAGTGAGTTGAGTTTAGTGAGAGTGTAACGTTGGAGTGTAACTGGTAAGACAGGGTTAAATGTTAGCATGAGGGAGCATTAATATTGAAAACATTGATGACGCTTTAGTTGAATGTGGTTAGAAACTCGGCGGTAAATTATTGATGAAATTGATGAATAGAAAAGAGGACTTACTTCAATCGGTTTTAGGTTTTGCCTTTCCGATAACTTATCCTTTCCGTGTTCTAACCGGCTAGCTAAGTACGAATTACTGTGCGGTATTTCCTGCCATGACTTGCAGTTTTACAGCTATTCAATGCCATAGTCCGAGCTTCAGATGCTTCAAGCTGGTTTGATATTCTGACGCTCGACTGGTAATATGGAATCACTAACTTGGCTATGTTGATGGTAACTGGCATCTTCAACTGGCATTCGACATCAAACATGTCCCAGCACAAACACCACGACAAAAGGAACTAGATACTCAAACTAGCCAGTGCTAAAAATGCATACCATTGGGGTGATGGAACAGGGAATATCACAACTTATAGCCCAGCTCATGACTGCATTTCATCTCAACTCCGAGTTCGAGCTGGATTTGTTCAGTAGGTCACTGATACGGTACCAGCAGGTCATCGACTCGGATTCACCAGAGCTAATCCCATTGTTAAGCCAACCTACACACAACCACTAATCCCATCTCCAATTCAGCGCTACGCAGGAGGACCCAGTCAACCATCGCCACAGGTAAGGCGGCGGCGGCAGAGAGGCACCACGACAAAACCGAAGTCATTCATTCATAAGTCTTCAGCCTGTTGAATGAAAACATACGCCACAAAACCTCGCGAGCATCTCAGATCGCATCTCTTCTATGTCTCTTCGGACTTCTTGCTGCCTTGGATGGGTTAGGGTATCCACCAGTCTCCTCGCCAAGAGGCCACAACCCACCCCGGGTCGAAGCGGCAGCGGCGGCGGCGGCGGCGCTTCTGATACGATCAGGAAGTACTACCCAGCCCCTCTGCAGAGGACCTCGCCAACCATCAGACGCCCTCCCCCTCCCCACGAAGGGTGTCGGCATTTTCACCTGCCAGCCACCCCGAGCGCCGGGCGTCTTTGTGCGAGACTTCTTACGCAATAAGGACCGTTTCTAACGGCGTGCGCGCAGCGGCGGGGGTAGTTCGCACGATGGGGTGGTCCTGCACACTGCAAGGAGTGTCCGTCATCATAAACCTGGGGCTGTTACAGTGGCGGACGAGTTAGTACAGGGGTGAAGCACAAAGCGGATGGCACTGATGCTCTAGTCGCTATGCAAAGTGGTCTCGGTCAGCTGGCACACAGCAGTGACCCATTTTGGCAGAGAAGGGGACGGGGAGGGTAGAGGGGGAGAGAGGAGGGCAGAGAGGGAGAGAGGGGCCGATATCCGGCGCGGGAGAAACCGCCCGGAAGGGGTTGTGCATGCGTGAAGGACAGAGAGACAGAGCGAGAGGGAGAGAGAGAGAGAGAAAGAGAGAGAGAGAGAAAGAGAAAGAGAGAGAGAGAGAGAGAGAGAGAGAGAGAGAGAGAGAGAGAGAGAGAAGTAGATAAAAGTCAGAGAAAGAATAGAAAAATAAAAAGACAGGAAAGGAAAAAAGAAGAGAGAGCAGTGCCTATGAACTATCTTCGTTTGCATTGTCCTCTTAATTAACATTCTTAATTGCAACAATCTCATAGTGACGCTAAGCACCTGGCAGTACAAGCAAAACGTCATTTGAAAAATAATGCATTTAAATTTGACTTGAACAATTTTTAAAGGCGCAGAAGTAAAAAGAGTGTTCCACTGTCGTCTGTCAGTGTTGGCTGCCTGCGGAGTGATGAATTGAATTTCAATCGAGCGAGATATATGTGTGTCATCACTCATCAGATGATATCAAAAGATATTGTTTTAATATGGCAATCAGAAACGTCGAAAAAGCACGTCGCAACGCAGCTCAAGATTTCTTAATGTCACATACTTTGCCTGTCAGGTGATGTGACCAATTTGACATATGTGCATTGTGCAATCGCCAGGTAAGTAGATGCACTGCTATCATCAGCATATCTCCCTACCTCGTCTGATAAACAACGCCAGGTCTAATGTTCATATTGCAAAACCATCATTTCGCCAGAAATGCCTCATCGGGACAAGTTTTGTTTCCACGCACCCTGCTCAATGTGGCTCTAATAATACAAAACACGTCTTTGATGGCCTATAATACATATTTACTCTATCATTCGCAAATATCTATCACTAATCTACCCGTGATTCGTATCAACTCTGACGCAAACCGGTCACCCGTGACCTCGCAACAAATCCGAGCGCTGACAAGCATTGTGCAGGCCATTTTCATGAACGGGATTCTGCAATGTTTAGTGTGCCGTGTGGGCCAAATGTCAAGTGCAACTGTGCACACTGTAGGTCTATTACGATGAGATGAGCTGGATACAAGACAGGTTCGCTGACCTCTACAGGGCAAGGATGGATGAGTGTTCACTTGATAAAAGTAAGCATCTGTTGCACAATGTGATCTGGCGACTAACAGATGTGCTGGACAAAAAGGATGATCGATGTTTTCTTTTTAAACAGAAGGTGATATGGGTATTAACAAAATAGTTATATGTTAGGAAACGAGAGCAGCTTACTTAAAAACTATTAATAGCTTTCAACAAACAAGGTGTAAAGCAACGGCAATTAAAATTAGTAACCAACCGTGTTATTTTGGCACCGTCATTCCTGTTATTTATGTATCTTATTTTATTTACTTTTTATGTCCAGCCTGCATTGTTACCAGCTTTCATCTTTCTCATTTCGATTCCGATACCTACATTCCGAAAAGATCACTGGAATAACCAGAAAATCTTCGGTGAAATCTCGCCGTCACTTCAGATGAAACACGATTGATTCATTTGCTGTATGTAAGGCATTTGAGCAAAATGTCACTGCTAACAAAAAAAATGTTTGTGACCTCACAAGTCTTATTATAGAGGTCTAACCCGACAGACATCAATATTAAAAATATACTGAGAGGTGCCTTGACTTTGAGCAAATGTCAGTCACCCTTACTTCACAGATTCTGAATTAGCATACATAAGCTCATACCTAGCCAATATCGAATGAACAAAATATTCATCAATAAAGACATGACACCGTATAACACTTCGTCATTTAAAAACAAAACTAATTGTTAAAATAACCCATGAATCACTTCTGGTTCATTGCATTGGCGCGCTTCTTCAAAGACCCGCAGGCCTCCACATGAGCCTCTAGTCCAAGGCTACTGATTGTATAGAACTCCCTCTAGCCCTTCAAACACACAACAGTCAAAACACGATTTCGTCCAGCCTAGCACACAACTATCTCATACAACGATCTCTCAGTTTACATGATCACACAGCAGCACTGTTTGGGGTAGTCGGGAAAGTGGATCTTCTGGCTGTTTCCGTAGATGAAGAAGTCGTCCTGTTTGCCGTCGTAGTGGTAGGTGACGCAAAACACCGGCACAGACTGAACAGAGTGACGCTGAAATAAAGGAACAGATGACGGTCAAGTATGTTTAATAATGCATCAATATTCAATATTTTTGAACTATTGTCATGGTAACATCTTCTTATCAATTGATACTCATGCATGCATTCATTCAATCAATCAATCAATCAATCATTCATTCATTCATTCATTCACTGTTCATTCGATTGTTCGATTATTGTTCATTTATTTGAGTTTTGAGTTTTGACGCTTTATTCATTCATTCGTTTCTTTGAATACCATCGCCTTTGATCCAGCTGTCAATGGCAATGGCAGCATTTTTTTTACTTTTCTTTCTACTGAGCTGCCCAGTTCAAATATTTTAGTGTCGTAGCGCAGCTCACCTGTCTGAATATCCTCTCCTGGGGCCACTGCTGGCCGTGTTTGTGCACCAGCTCCGAGGAGCTCTCGCTGACCAGTCGGTCCGGAAAGCCGACGATCGGGTGCACGCGCTGCTCCTCGGCTCTGAACACCTCCTGACCGGAGACGGAGCGGATCAGGTTATCGGGCAGGTCGGTGCGCTCCACCACCTTGATGTCCTTGTGGTTTTGCCTGACGAAACAGAAGGTAGGAGAGGTCAGGAGCTGCATGAAGAAAGGAGAACAGTTTCCAGGTTCAGAGGGAGATGCTTACTGTGTAAAAGAAATAATTTCGAAGCAAAGAGTTCCAGGGCTGGAGCACAATATTTGTGGTTGACAGAACAACAAAGAAATGGGAGAATCCTAAAGTTTCTGGAACAAAATCTTAGATGTAGATACTTTGAAATCTCTAAGAGCTTAAGAACAGGATTCAAAGTCAAAGACGGAAAAGGCAAAATAACTAATTATTTTCAGCCGAGCAGAGACGCGTTATTGAAAGGGGATGAATAATAATTCAGTTAGAGTAGCCAAGAACCCATTGTTGTAATTCTCTCAGATACTTCATGTTGTACATGTGTTTTGATAGCTGGAAATCTTAACAGAGAGCGATCATGTAATATAGTTTAAAAACAATGATAACGACGATCTATTTAATGTGAAACCGCAAATCATTGAAACCCAAATAGCTAGTCATTCGGAAAAGACAGCATTCGTTGCAGAACGTTGTCATTTCTTGGTCATTTCAACCCAACTTCAACTCGACTGAAGACCAACGCACGTGACAAGTCACTGCATATGCAACGGCGCTGACTTAAATTCTGTCACTTTCGCGACACTGTCGTATGCGACCATCTGATTTGCAACCGTCGCATTGCGAACGCTTCGTCCGCTTTCACTTCTCGTCTGAGACCGTGGTCGTGTTTAAAAGATGACACCACTCGCACATCCACTGTACTCAGTGAGAATTAGCATAGTGTGTGGGTTCTTTATAGAGCGGGTAGCGTCAGCTGCTATTAGGTAGGTATTGGTATGTGCACTGAAAAAATATAAAACACTGGTCGGGTGTTTTATCAGTGTATTATGGGTGTTAAGCACCATTAATGGTGTATCATGACACTAATAGCAGTGTCATTACCCCGTTCAACACCGTTATTGGTGTAATGGCATTGCTTGAACACGGTTTAAGGTGTCACATGACACTTGAAATAACACACTTGGGGTGTAATCGAGGTGTCTCAACTCCCATCTAACACCTTTTTTGGTGTTACAGAGAAAACATAACACCCGTTAGGTGTACTGAGGGTGCCATGTCATCCCTTAAACACCGTTTAAGGTGTCACACGACACTTGAAAAGCACACTTGGGATGTACTCGAAGTGTCGTAGCTCCCATTCAACACTCCTTTTGGTGTCAAAGAGAAAACAAAACACCCTCTGGGTGTATTGAAAGTGTCATGTCATCACTTAAACACCGTTTAAGGTGTCACACGACACTTGAAAGAGCACACCTGGGATGTAATCGAGGTGTCGTAACTCCCATTCAACACTCATAGCAGTGTCATTACCCCGTTGAACACCGTTATTGGTGTAATGACATTGCTTGAACACCGTTTAAGGTGTCACATGACACTTGAAATAACACACTTGGGGTGTAATCGAGGTGTCTCAACTCCCATCCAACACCTTTTTTGGTGTTACAGAGAAAACATAACACCCGTTAGGTGTACTGAGTGTGCCATGTCATCCCTTAAACACCGTTTAAGGTGTCACACGACACTTGAAAAGCACACTTGGGATGTACCCAAGCTAAGAGACATTCTAGCATAAAAATATTCAAATTACCAGCTTCGTTTATTAGTTACGGGAGCTTTCGAAAGACGTTCGTCTTTCTTCGTCAGCCTGTCTTTGCAGTGTCAGACACCATTGAAATTCCCTATGGGTGCAGTTGGGTAGATGGCGCTGCTGTGCTGTATGGTGTACAGAGTTTGCATTTATATTCTAATGGATTTGCTTCAACTACATCAAATAAACAAATCCACGATAATAAATAAATAAATTCATATACAATACTTCAAAGAAAACGCGTCGGGAAAATATTGGGAACATAATGCAGCCCTAGTAGCCCATGTTCAACCGTTGGCTTCCATGCGGCCGGCCGCCATACTAGTTTGAAACGTGCGCGACTGCGGGCGGAGGCGCTGGTGGGATTACGGTGTGTTGGGAGCATAAGTGTGTGCAAGTGAGTTAGAAGTGATCGTGAGTGGTGTCTTGGTACTCGAAGAGCTCCAGTTTTAGCAAAGGTGAGCTATTCTTGGCTAGCAATGGCACTGCTGCGGATTCCGAAAGACATGGTACTGGCCGCTGGGGGGGGGGGGGGATGGCGCAGGGGCGGATCCAGAAAATCTCCAAGGGAGGGGCCATTAGAAACCAGGAGGCCCCCATAATCCCACCTGTTGGAGGCCCCATCTTCCCACTTGTTGGCCCCCCCCCCAAAAAAAACTGCGTCTATTGAGCTTATCTAGCTGTTCAGGCAACATCTCAACATGAATAGAGGCTGCACACTCCCTGCACACTCAGCCTCAGTGTGCAGGGACTCAGGCTTGGAGTCCCTCTGTGCAGGATAGGAGACCTTCTGTGTGAGTTAGGAGGCCCTCTGTGTTGGCTAGGAGGCCCTTTGTTCGGATGCGAGTGGAGGCCTCTGTGTAGGCTAAGAGATTTTGTGTTTGTTAGGACATCTGTGCAGGCTCGGAGGCCCTCTGTGCAGGTTAGGAGGCCCTGTAAAAGTGGTCATCTCTGTGAGTATAAGAGACCTCCAAGTTATGAAAAGCTTTACCAATCTTCTAACACAAAGAAGTCTTCTCAGCTAGTCTTCTAAGAAATAACTAAGGGGGTAGGTTAAAAAAAAAACTCATCGGATTTCGGCCACTTTATTTTCAGGAGGCCCCCTTTTCAGCTTTTTAACTTTTTATTTTATTTTTGAAAAAAAAAATCGGCCAAGGGGGGGGGGCATGGCCCCCATGGCCCCCCCCCTTGTATCCGCGCCTGGGATGGCGGCATACTCCCGATAGGGGTTCTTTAATATCCGAAAAATATATCCTCAGATTTTTTTTCTCTTGTGTTGGTGTGCAATTTAACACGCACCCTGCTTGGGTATTTATCCGAATTCGTAACCCCACTGGAGAGGGGGAGGGGGTTGGATTCTGCTTATTTCTATTATGCTCCGCGTATCCATGCTGCTAGACTGATTTGCGATGCAATGTGGTGGCATTTGTTCCCTGCAACCTACATTCTGTGTGTAATTTCATAACGCTGTATCATATAGGTATGCATACAACTTATTGATTCCCCCATTGGGTACAGGGTGTCAGGTACAAATGTATCACTGGTAGTTTAAATGAATTGTTGGTAATAACAAGGTTGAATAACACCAATGATGAAAGTGGGTGTTCAGTTTATCACACATGTGAGCGTCATTCCCTGCAATGTCAGTGTTTGTTATCAATTTTACACCGTTACGAGTGTTACTAGGGTGTCTTAACAGTGTTGAAGTACACCCTTAATGGACGCCTGAAGGATGAGCTTAAATTCCAAAGGGCGTTAAAAACAACGTAACCCGAAGCTGATATTAAGGGAGCCTTAGATTAGGTCAAAGGTCAGGTCACCAAAGTTCATCGAAGGACAAATTTTGCCTCTTACGCCACTTGTTGACGAATCGGCGAATAACTTGTGAACGAATAGAGCTACAGCGCCGCCGAAAAGTACACCCAGTAGCTCTTTCAACGTTTTTTTGTGGGTGTGAAATGCGTCCTCAGATTTGATCTAAGATCAACTAATTGCCCTACAGAGGAGAAAACCCATGAAATAAACGGTTTTACAGAAATTGTTTTCTGCAGCAATTCATTTGATTCAAAACCGACACGACATTTAATGTTCCGGCATCGTGTTCCTCGATTTGAGACGCGTCTAATTAAAAAATAATATGACCGTCAAATGTGATTTTGAAAATCTGACCAAGGGTTATGGTGATGACCCGACCAGAAAGGTCATGTTACAAATTAGTCGATTAGTATTGTCGAGCTGAACACATCTTATGTGTTTTCATCGCTCTAGCTCTATAAAAAGTTACTGTAAAAAAAAACTGAATAGTGGATAGTGGATACATGTCATGACCTGATAGCACGTCTTGGGTATAAATAGAGTCACGGGTGCAATTTTCCCATTCAGTGTGTAATGTTTCTCTGTTATTCAATGTTTGGGGGCGTTAAGTATGACTTTCGTCCAAAAGAACACATTTCAATTTGTTCCCGTTGACTTATGCATAATGTTTGCATTTTTGACCTTACAGGTTACAGATATCAAGCTTCAGAGATACGTATTTATTCATAGTCATCTTAGATCTTATCAATCGCCTAAAATTTGAAAGTGATCACTCAGATAGTGTAGCATTGGCGAACAAACTCTTAATTTTCTGGGATGAGGTCACTTGATGTGGCCTGGTGACCTGACCTTGAGCGACCTGGGTATGAATTTTAACCCGGCGGCCGCTGGGCCTCCGCGCCACCCGCCGGCCGCTGGGGGGGGGGGGGCATATAGTTGCCCCCCCCCTTTACTTCCGCGGCGATATCGTCGCAACGCGAAGAGATAGAGAAGCGAAACTTTGCATACATCTTCCTGAATACCTAGCCGAGGTTGTGTCCAAATTTGGTGTCGATCCCATTTGAAATGACGTCACAGTGACGTCATAAGTCAAATTGTAGATTTGCGACTCTCAGTTTGCTCACGATACATCAGGTATATGGGACCGAATATAAAGGGCCGATTATTGGTTAGGAACTAGATGGAAGTGCACTTAGATGTTTTAGGATGACAGCAGGTGCTGTCTAGTTCATTTACAGTTGAGTTTCATGCTCAGCGTCATCAGAAACGGTCCATATCGGAAAACGATAAAACTTTATGACGTCACTGTGACGTCATCTTAGATGCTACAACCACCAAACTTTCTTCAAACATTGCCTAGATATTCATTTGAAGCTATGCCAAGTTTCACGTTCGTAGCTCATCAGGTTTCGGAGATATTCTACAAAACGTAAAGGGGGGGCAACTTTATGCCCCCCCCCCAGCGGCTCGTGGGTTAACATGTGCAAAAATCTTGGACAAAAGTGGGCAGGGCGCCGCCGTTTTTTTAAGATCTGCGAAATACCGCAGGAGGGGGAGTGGTGTTCATGTTCAAACACCTCAAGCCCGCCGCGGAGTCATCCTATACTTGTTTTTGTAGTCTGTACGTGTTTCTATTTCTAAGTGTCGTCCTTTCGTGTTTCTCCAGAATATGCCTCCCTGGATCTTCCCAGATGCCGCCTAGTGAGAACCCAGCGGAGCTTCACTTATAGGGCTGCATCCGCCTGGAACGCCCAATTAACACGCAGTTAGACTGGATAGCACCGGAGAGGCCCAAGTGAATCACCAGCGCTGTGTTTTAAACAAAATGTTTTAGGTCTTGCAATGTGTCTCATTTTTAACCATGCTTTTACCAGTGTACAATGACTGAATTCGTAATACCCACCATGTGGAGAATTCTAATAAATGACTCTGACTCTGACTCTGAAAAGCCAAGAACATAAACATTTTCATGGAGCAAACGGTCTTCGAAGTGGAGCTCAGTTGCCATGTACCCACTCAAGTGCGCTCCGTTTTCAAAGAGCTGAAGCAAAGGGCAAAGAGATAGAAGGGCTCAGAGATCAAGCTTCGGGCCGCGCTGAAGTGAACAGAGCTGTAAAAGGTGTGTGTGGCGAGGGAGGGGGGGGGGGGGGTAGGCACGACAGGCGATTATGAACTGCGAAGTGTGTGAATAGGGCTAGAGAGAGCTAGCGTCCTACGGCGACCTCGGTGAACACTGAACTGATACGGACTTAAGAGGGAGGAGGGGGGCTGATATGTAGTAGACATGTGCATGGATCCGAGTGATTGATCCATGATCTCAGTGGATCTTAAAGCAAACGACAAGCTTGGATCTATAATCCCATTGTATCCCACGTAGAAAATGTATCCTGAATCTCTGAATCTATGATCTCATTGCATCTTATAACAAACCAAAATCAGGATCTGAGATCCGATTGAATCCCACCACATGCAACATAATGAAACCATGTTTCCATGCGACTTGTTTTGAATTTTGAATTTGAATTTGCGTTGTTTTAAATTTTCTCCGTGTACCAACTGCGCCACTGGAGCCGCCCATATACTCCATGACACCCACAGGGTGTCATTGAGTATATGGAGCCTGTGGGCTCCCTGTGGGTGTCAACTTGGTGACACCGTTATAAGTGTAAGCAGCGCTGTGACACCTTTAAATTACACCCGTGGGTATGCAGTTTAACACACACCCAGGCGATTATTCCCCCCAGTATCCCTATGGGTGTCAACTTGGTGACACCGTTATAAGCGTTGTGTTGTGACACCTTTAAATTACACCCGTGGGTATGCAGTTTAACACACACCCAAGCGATTATTCCCCCCAGTATCCCTACGGGTGTTATCTTGGTGACACCATTATAAGTGTAAATAGGGTGTCTGAGGGGAGTCGAAACGCACCCTTGTCTGGGGTGTATGACACCACAGTACAGAAACTGGACACCCTTAGGGATAGTACAATGGTGTATCTTGACGCTCATATAAGTGTTATCTGACACCTTTCAAAAACACCCGTGGGTATGCAGTTTAACCACTTACACCGTTAGCAGTGTTTTAAATTTTCTCCGTGTGAGGTTGCGTCATAATAAGACGAGCATAGGTGTGGTTGGAACGATAACATATCGTGTAAGGTAACTACTAAGCACCAACACATGCAAAATGAAAGTGGATCTACTCATCCTTTCGTTTGGTAGATCTTGCGAATGGTTTGTCTGCCATTTTTATATGCTTGCTTGGCATACGAAATTGCTCGATAAATTTAAAACACTATTTTTTATGAAAAGAAGCATCCTGAAGCAATACAATTTTGGAATTTTCACTACGCAAAAGGGTCACCAGATTTTCCCCTAAATGTTTCAAGGCAATAAAAACAGGAAAGATAGGACGTCGGGAAAAAGCTGGCCCAATTTCAAAAACATTTCAAAAATATACCGGAAAGAAGACACTAAAAAAGACATTTTACAAAATGATTCCTTCCAGGCCTTTACATGAACATCCTGGTTCACAAAATTTATCTCGCTGAGGTGTGCAAATGCTACCAGATCTGCCACCCTAAAGAACTCTGGCAAGAAGCTGCGGTGAAAGTCCTCTCCGCACCGGTCGAGCCTAAAAAGCCGCGACAACAATGGTGGCTCCGACGTCCCGCGTCTCGTGGTGTCGTGTGCCCTTCCTCTCTTCTCTACCTTACGGGCGCTCTACCCTCTTCCCTCCCCAACGCTCTTTACTGCTTGAAGTCAGGTGATCACTAGTGGATGAGGCAAGAAAATGAGTTTGAGCACAGCAAGGGGCGCCACAGGCATGTGAGTTTGGCATGGTAGCTTGCCAATTAAAGTCGATTTTAGTCGAACTAGCATTCGGAACCGAAAATCAGGACAATTAATTTATTTCCTTTTCGGTACTAACCATACCTCACATGCGAATTAATCCTTCATGAAACGATAACTATTTACGAGCAAACCTATGGATGGTTAAAACTGGACTAGTTTTCAGCGTGGATCTCTATAAATGCGGAAACACATACACCATGATGCACACAAAATCGGACCGCCACTTCAAACAAATCAAACACCTCTCACTTCTCAGCTCACCTCACTCATCTAACTCATCCTTCTCACCATTTGACTGTGAGTTCCACGAAGCAGCGGATGTGACCGACGGCCTCACATGTGGGACAAGGAATCATCCCAGCGGTATGGCAAGTGAGACAGCGTCTGGAACCTCGGCCATGACAGAAGGAGCAAGCGTTGTTCGATTGGCTCGACACTGTCGATATGCCGTGCGAATGGCAAAAAGTGCACCGTGTCTGCGAAAAAAACGGTAGGGAGAGAGAGAGAGAGAGAGAGAGAGAGAGAGAGAGAGAGAGAGAGAGAGAGAGAGAGAGAGAGAGAGAGAGAGAGAGAGAGAGAGAGAGAGAGAGAGAGAGAGAGAGAGAGAGAGAGGGAGAAAGATGAAGTCAAGGCGTAACATTCAAAAGAATCATAAATATTGTTTCTTAGCACTTAATATTACCCTCACTTTTTTCACACTTCGTGCGTAGTTTATACCAGCCTTCCGTATGAATGGCTTCGTTTTCTGCCTAGGTTGCATTGCATGGCAGTGCCTAACTTCATAAAACCGGTTAGTATAAATGCGTAACTTACGAACAGCATCAGTCAGGACAGGTCCCAACTTATCAATCACTGCGCACATCAATGGGTATCATGCGTACCCCCGTCAGCGTCAGTGCGTACCTTATGTTTCCTGTCCGTATCAGAGCGTAACTTATGCATTCGCGTAGCACGTAACTTACGTATCCACCTCCGTGGTAGAGCGTAACTTACGTATCCACGCCCGTGGCAGCGCGTACAGCGCGTCTCCCGGAGACCGCGGCAGTCGTGGCAGACACGTACCGTCTGCGTGTTGGGCACCTCTGCCACAGAGTTCAGGTTCTGGGGCACGCACCAGAGGGCGGTCAAAACGCGCAGAGGGCGCGGGAAGCGAGTGAGGGGACAGAGCAGACAAGTACATTTTCCGTGACAACACTACCAAGTGATGTGTTAGGCATTACACCATACTCCTATCTTGATCATCCATCAACCCATGGTCTTCACGATAATCTATATGCGAGTTGAGTCTTGAGGGCGAAAACGTGAATCCACAACAGGCAGCTTTCGATGATGGGCGCTGCTATGATTCGTCTCTTTCGGTCTCTTTCGGTACGTACCTGGAACCACTGGGAGGGCTCCAGGGTGATCAGCACGTCCCAGGGTCCTGGCGGAGGACCGCTGGGCGGCGGCACGGTCTCACCACGCCACGGCACGTAGTTCCATCGCGTGATGCGCGTCTCCGTCATGGTCTCGAGCGTGTACTGCCGAAACGGGAGGGGTCAGGGGTCAGAAAGGTGCTGCAGAGGTCATGTGGGTCACATTGGGTCAGGCATGTCAACTAGACTCGTATGCAGTTGTGGAAAGTTAAATGCATCATATTTGAAGTGCGGAGTCGTATGTCGTCTCGCGATGAGATGCCGCCTAGAGCAGCAATTCATCCCTGGAAACTACCTGACTTGGAACAGAACTGAGGCCTCTTGCACCAAACTACCTAGCTAGGTAAAATCGAAAAACCGGTTTCAGAATAAGCTAATCTAAAGGTGGTAAATTTGTTTGCAATAGCCCAATACATAATCCTACATGTGCTTGCTAAATTTTGCACGCAAATTGTTACATTTGAGACTTGGACTGGGTATACGATGCAAAATAATTCAAGCATTGGTGCAAGAGGATTTTGGTGCAAGAGGCCTCTGCACAATTTCGCGTCAGCAACAGCCCACCTTGACAGTCCCAAGCCGCCATCTCCTCCCTTCGCTCCGTCGTGCTGTTTTTTTTACGCTCTTTGCGTCTAACAAGAGCATTTCAGAGTCGGTAGAATGATACGAATTAGGGGGGGGGGGGAGACATTGATCTGGGCGGGCACCCTGGTGAACCGTCGGGGCTGAGCCCGTCCAGTGGACAGGCCACCCAGCCCCGTAACAGTCACCGCAGTCGCACCCGGCTACGGGTCTGCTTCTGCAGGGGTGGAGCATGCAACGACGGAACGGAGGTCCGTTGATTCTGTCCTCAGGATAGTCGACTCCCTCTTCTCGACGCCTCCACCCCCTGTTCTCCCCCTTATTCCCATCATGCTTCCGGCCAGTGCAGTGGCGGATCCAGGGGGGGGGACAAAATGGGCATTTGCCCCTCCCAAATGGCATAATTTTAACATTACGCCTATGGACGAGGCATGGAAAGAATCGATAAATTGTTATGGTTTGCCCCTCCCAAAACTCTGAGCTGGATCCGCCACTGCTTCCGGCTCTGCAATGGGCTCTTCTCTGCTCATTAGACCGAAAGTGCCTAACAACAAAACAAACAAACAATCCCATCTTCCATACCTTCAAGGCGGGTGTGGGCGTCACCGTGACAATCTTCATGTCCTCGATGGGTCCCTTTCCGAAGCAGCAGTGCTCGGCCACATAGCCGGCCACAATCTCTCTGATCCTCTCTGTGCTGGGTACTTCGTGCTGCACGTTCACCTGGCCGTAATTCTCCGGCGGAGGGGGCAGGGCGGCAGGAGGCGGCGGAGGCGCTCCCCCTGTGCACAGAGGAGGGGGGAGTGAGTTTCAGCTGGAATGGGTAACGGTGGTTTACCTCTACTGTCTCCGTGCCATTCCTGCATTAGGTAACAATGACAGAAAGATCAAAATGATAGAAGTTCGTTTACAATTCACATGCCTGCTCGTTTACACTTCAACGTAAAACTACAACGTGAACAGAACTCTATGGAAGTAAAAATAGTGTAGCACTGGGTTTATGGCCCACGCTCCTTTACCACATTTTTTCGTAATTCATCCTTCCCTTCTCGCACAGTATTTCTCTTCAATCCTTCATCCCACTCGCAGCCTTATCCCTCCAAGTCCCCGCACATCCCTCCACCTACCTCCAGTGAAGTCGAGTCCCTCGTAGCCGGGCAGCTTGTCCATGGAGTCGATGGGCGGCGCCGTCGGCGAGGGGTCACTGCCCTCCTCTGCCAGCTCCTCGTCCGGAGTCGGCGAGGCGCGGCCCTCCAGTTTGGCAGCCGTCTCCGGCTTCAGAAAGTCCACTGGAGGCGCGGATTCTTGCGAAGGAGCGCCCTGTTGTGGGTATTGCCCTTGAGGTGGATATTGCCCCTTCTGCGGATATTGTCCTTGAGGATATTGCCCTTGTGGTGGATATTGTCCTTGCTGCGGATATTGTCCTTGAGGATATTGCCCTTGCTGCGGATATTGCCCTTGCTGTGGATATTGCCCTTGCTGTGGATATTGCCCTTGCTGTGGATGTTCTCCTTGCTGTTGAGGATACGCTCCCGGATTATAATGCCCATGTTGCGGTGGATATTGACCCGCTGGCGGCCGGCACCGGGACAGTGGGACTGGATCCTGACCCGTCTGCAGTGGGTTTTGGTCAACTCCCACACCACCGGAGAAGCCACTTTGCACTTCCACGACACAATGAGATCGGCATGTCGATGTCTTCGCCGCGCTGGCGAATTTAGCTTTGGTGAACATCAGACTGTTGAAATAGTCGTCTAGGATGAAACGATTATTTCGATTGAACTCTTTGAACTTATATTAATTTAATTGATGCTTGAACTGATCTTGAGTGTGCGTTAGATAACTGGTACATTTGGTCTGAAAGAAATGGAAATTTATCGGTGAGAGGAATCATAAATGATGATAACTCATACAGCCAATAGCAGCCTCACGAATGACCTGTTAGTTATATCTTCACAGTGTTTCATAAAAATGGCTTACCTTATAAGCAGTTGGGCGTTTACTGGGCGTTGTCAAACCAACCACTGCCACTCAAAATATGTGTCGTACTGTCGCGGTATACTTTGAATCAGTGAAAGAGCCGTATCAGACACAATAGTCATTATCGGGACTGGCATGGGCGTACATACGAACCAGGGGTCGTGGCCCGTATGTCAACGTACTACTTATCAAAGCAGCGATAGGCTATCACACTCTAAGTCTTGCCATATGTCTCGGTAAACGACGAGGACCTTGATAAGACATGGAAAACACAAATGGAAAGCGACAGTCACGTTAGCAATTGCTTCCACCAAGTGCTCTAGCACACGCTTGGGCGGCCCGTAAAATGCCAAATAAATTTGTACTAAAATAAATTTGAATACCGTGAGAGAATAATAGTCACATCACACGCTAAAAAATACATGCTTGCATCTCTTTTGCAACAGCGATGAAATTACACGCAGCATTCATGAGTACCCGAAGCCTACCCTGGCAATCCTGACTGTGCCACTGTGACCGCGACCCGCCCACTTCCCACACACAGAAAAATATTAACAGCTATATATTATATTAGCTTATGTATTATATAAATATTATAAATATTAGCTACATGTAGCAAAACACCCAACCCTCCTAACAGTGTTCTATTACCTTCTTCCTGGTGTTCATTTAGAAGCGCGAGTAATTTAAGCGGGGAAGGGACTAAATTAACTTTCCTCAAGTGCTCAGATATGTACTGTGCAATTACACCGCTAACGGTGTCAATATAATCTGTGTGCACACACACCTCACCTCCAAATGTGAGCCTGGCTGGGTCAGCTCTTCTCCGAAGCTTGCAGTATTTTAACATATAAGCACAAACACTAGTTACGCCTGATTCTATAACGCAGCTCTTAAAACGCTGTAAAACAGGTTAGAAGTGAGGACCTTTTCTGTTGTCGGACCGTTGTCGGACCCTGGCGATAAACTGGTACGTCCCGAGTTCCACATCCGAGTCTCGCACGCCGCAAGCATTGGCGAGCTGTGTTGGCTGCCTCAAGTCCCCCCCCCCGCTTCCTTATCTCCCCCCCCCCCCGGGTGCTACAGCTTTAGGCCGGGATCTGGCGATTCAGGCGTGTTGCAGAGTATTGCAAAGGCAGAAATTGAGGTCGCCAATCTAAATTTAGCTGATGTAATTCTGGCAAAGTTCTACCTGACGTGATTGATAAGCTGTTAAGCAGAAATAGCAGTGCAGATCAGTTTAACTCTGTAAACGGTGGAATGGTTCAGGATAAGGAAACGATTTAATATCGCCCATCGTATCGAGTATCATCTAATTCGGCCTTTCGATCACATTTAAAATGTTAACATCCCTGGCCTGCATTCACTATGGGAATTCTTATCATTCGGTAGTGCTGATAAGTCATTGTTGATAGAGCATTGTCATTGTCATTAGAAAATGCATCCGTGAAGCCCAAGCTTCCTGAAGTCATCTGTTGTCCATGCACTGTCATTGACACGTGTCGTGTCGGCAGTTCGATAAAACACATCGAAACCAATGTTCCTGAGTCTGTCACAAGTAAGCAACAGCTATAAGAAATCCTTTAACATTTAAGCAAGCTCTGACAGCTTTTCTTCAAACGATTTACCTACAGGGTGTCCCAGAATTACCCGGACATTGTTAATTAGCGTATAAAATAAGGCAAACATGATTGCGCTTTTTTCTTTTTATCGTCCTATATAGTCAACTAGGGTGGCTGTGAAATAGCACATGCAATAGATACGCTTGTTACAAGATCAGCCGACAATGATTGAAAATGCTAGCCATTGCTGGTCTCAGTTGTTTTACGGCTTTCCCGAAACTGGGTGAAGGCCTGTTTCCTTTGACCTGTTGCCGGAGGATAATACGATCATATAAGATAAACTTAACATCAAAGTGTTCCCAGGTCATAAGGCATTATCCCCCAAAACAAAAATTGCTGCCTGCACCACTTTTGCCGCGTTTTTTACATCTGAAGTGGAGAAGCTCCATGTCTGACTTTGGCTTCCAACAGATTTGGTTTCCAAAACAAACCCGTTCATGGCCATTGGGTTTACGGCATCCAGTTTTTTTACTGGTAGAATATTACCGCAGTAGTACTCTGTGCTCTGTACTCTGTGCCAACGGCTGTCGTTCGGCCATCATATCAAGCCGAATGAGTGCACGGTGGCTCAAAATGTCTCACAATTTGATTTTCGACGGGTGCCTGGCCGTCTCTGCTGTTGGGGCGTTGTAGCCATCTGACGTTCACACACGCCTTTTTCGGGCAGTTCAAATGACAGAATACCTTCGTTAGACCACAAAGTGTGCTTCAATATAATTTTTGTTGTATATGTTATATTTTTGGGATGAATTGTAGTGGTTTTCGCTGCTTTTCCCGTAGTTTTCGCATATTTTTCAGGCGAGGTACCCCAAATTCCAAAATTTTGCGAAGATAGTGGTGGAAAGTAGACTGATGTTCTTTAGATAATCCTGATCTATCGTTTAGCTAGTTTTTAGCTAGATCAGTGACGTTTGTTGTCCATGGCAAGCAACCAACCGTTTGACAACTGGTGCATGGCCCTTTTTGGCCGAGCCCAAGCTTGTCAATCAGGTTTATCTCTTGCTCTCTCTGGCTTCGTTAACTGATATAATAGCGCTTTGCTCAATCCTAACTGCTTGCAGATGAGCTGCTGAAGCTCTCCAGCAAAAACCATGCCGAAAGTCCGTTTACAAAGTTGAAAACGGGAGTTGATTCACCATGGTTGCCTATTAGTGGCTTAAGCTGAAAACGGAAAAGGACTACTCTTACTTGACTCTGGATAATACTTGACTCGAGTCGTTACCGGTCACCAAAAGCACACAGTCCCCAAGCTCGATAGCTAAGGGATATCTTATAAAAGTATGATGCTTGTATGTCATTAGAATCGAGCGCAATCGTACTTTTAGCCAGAAAATAAATGTCCGGGTAATTCTGGGACACCCTGTATATACCAGTCAAATGTTTTGTGCTATGACATACATAAATTGGAGAGACGGCAGCATCGGGGGCAGCGCGGAAGGAGGAAGGGGCGGCAGCAGCCGAACAGACAGACAGACAGACAGACAGACGGACAGAACAGACAGACAGACAGACAGACAGACAGACAGACAGACAGACAGACAGACAGACAGACAGACAGGCAGGCAGGCAGGCAGGCAGGCAGGCAGGCAGGCAGGCAGGCAGGCAGGCAGGCAGGCAGGCAGGCAGACAGACAGACAGACAGACAGACAGACAGACAGACAGACAGACAGACAGACAGACACAGACAGACAGACAGACAGACAGACAGACGGGTGGACGGCATTCACCAGGGGCGGATCGAGCGCAGTAGGGGAGGGGAGGCGGCACCCATGGTAGCGGCGCGGCGGTAACCTTCAACCAACGAGAGACGGCCTTGAGCCACGCGCTGGCGTACCCACGAACGAACAGTGTGGCCGGCGCCGACGCGACAGCGGGCGAGCGTCGTGCTCGTGCCCTCGTTTGGAGATTATTTCACACGCTAGAACAGTGTATTGTGAGGTGTTATAAGAAGGTTTATTTCTGCGTGTTTGTTTTGTATTTTTGTGATGAGTTTGGAGGAGAGGTCGAAGAGGATTGTGTGTTGAGGTGAGTCGGTGCAAAGGGGGACGTGTGGGCGCGGCACGCCGGTTCATAGGCGGAGTCAGGAGCGCAGCAAGGGGAGGCGTCCGAATGCTGGTGCATTGACGCATATAATATCTGACGCACAAAAAAAAAAACAGTTTTGCACAAGTCACAGCTTCCTATATGTAGAATCGACTAACGCTGTTCTTTCCTTCTAACATTATGCCTACGTGTCATAGTAATCGTACGGTAAAAAGAGACTCGCAATCGGTCTAGATAGAAACAGTCATGATAAACGGTTTTTTATTACACTAAGTAGTGTTATTTACACACACATAAGTGATCATTTATTAATATTCACCCTCATCAAACGCATTCCTTGATCCACCCGTACCGTTTTACCGCTTGTTGTTGGGGGCGTGGCGGCAGCGGGATTTTTGTCATAGGTACGTCTTGCATTATAACAATTAACTTTTCTATTTCAGACTTTTTGTCAAGTAATCCAGTGTTGAGTGTGCCTCTAAAGTCCAATCAAGATAAACGCCCTTTCTCAAGCGAACATCCGAGCAATTCAAAGCAGAAAGCAAGAGTCATCTCGATCAAACCATGGCACAACCGACCCCGGGCGGTTACCCTTACCCTCAGCCTGGCGGGCACAGTCCTTACCCCGGAGTTCAGGGAGGTTACCCATACCCACCACAAGCGGGTCAATACCCACCACAGCCGGGTCAGTACCCTGCACAACCCGGGTATTATCCGGGTAATCAAGGACAATATCCACCACAAGGACAATATTCTCAAGGACAATACCCTCCACAAGGACCATATCCTCAAGGACCATATCCTCTCCAAGGGCAGTACCAACAACAGGGGCAGTACCCACCACAAGGCGCCTACCCACCCCAGGGCGCTCCTCCGCAAGAATCCGCTCCTCTAATGGGTTTTCTGAAGCCGGAGACGGCTGCCAAACTGGAGGGCCGCGCCTCACCGACTCCGGACGAGGAGCTGGCAGAGGAGGGCAGTGACCCCTCGCCGACGGCGCCGCCCATCGACTCCATGGACAAGCTGCCCGGCTACGAAGGACTCGACTTCACTGGAGGTAGGTGGAGGATGTGCGGGATTTGCAGGGAGAAGGCTGCGAGTGGGATGAAGGATTGAAGAGAAATACTACGCTAGGGGCTGGGTTATACGAATGTATCTGGTAAAGAATAGTGGGCGACAAGCGTAGTTCTACCTATGACAAGTTTCACTTTCACAGAGTTATGTTCGCTTTGTAATAGCTAGGTGGCAAATGAGCAAGGATGTTGCTCGACTTGATCCGCATGGAAACACGCAATCGAGCTTGGAATCATTGTCACCTAGCACAGATAAAAGGCACGAGGACAGCAGTAGCAGCAAACTACCGTTACCCATTCCAGCTGAAACTCACCCCCCTCCTCTGTGCACAGGGGGAGCGCCTCCGCCGCCTCCTGCCGCCCTGCCCCCTCCGCCGGAGAATTACGGCCAGGTGAACGTGCAGCACGAAGTACCCAGCACTGAGAGGATCAGAGAGATTGTGGCCGGCTATGTGGCCGAGCACTGCTGCTTCGGAAAGGGACCCATCGAGGACATGAAGATTGTCACCGTAACGCCCACACCAGCCATGAAGGTAGGAAGATCAGCGGTTGGGCAGGGGTGATGGATGGCACGAAATTGTCCGAATGTCTTATCCAAGTTTATGTAGTTTTCGGGGATGAGAGACATCTCGTCTCGAGACGACATACAACTCCCCACTTTCAGTATGATACGCTTGACTTTCCACAGCTGCAAATGAGTCTAGCGCACTCGTCTGACCCTATATGGGACCCACATGACCTCTGTGGCACCTTTCTGACCTGATCTCTCCGGTTCCGGCAGTACACGCTCGAGACCATGACGGAGACGCGCATCACGAGATGGAACTACGTGCCGTGGCGTGGTGAGACCGTGCCGCCGCCCAGCGGTCCTCCGCCAGGACCCTGGGACGTGCTGATCACCCTGGAGCCCTCCCAGTGGTTTCAGGTGCGCCCCAGGGGTAACAGGGGAAGGAGTTAGGTCAGGCTAAGAGCATCGTCGTTCATCGCTGCTCATCATTCGAATCTATTTGTTAGTTGTGGATATCTCTTTGCATCTCAAAGGCTCAACACTGATACCTATAAGCGTAGTACAGACAAAAATAAAGTAAATTAGTGAGCGAGCTGGAAAAGTGGTAGAATGCCTTGCTTATTTATTTCATACAGGAAATGTCAAGTAGCAGATAGGATGTTCTCCCTTCAGCTACCTCCCGCGCGTATTTGGAATTTCCGACCTCGACGAGCGTCTGTGGTAGAAAACCACCACTTTGGTAGGGGAAACTACTGCTGTCTGCTACAATTTGCACTGCATGTCAAGCTATTGTAGCGACACCTATGCATATACATTTCCGACCTCGTCGAAAATCTCACGGCGCTTCGCGCCGACCCGCGCCGCCCATTCATACTGGAGACCAAAAGAGATTATGACTTCAGAGTTGTGACAAATACCTAAAGCAACCACCACGTATGATGATATACATTAACATAACAGTTAACTATCAGATTGACGGCATGTGTCAACAATTATACCCTGATAGAAGACCGGAGGCTCTGGTTAACCGTGTAAAAATGAATACTTCAGACGCGTACCGCGTTTATTTATATACATATTAGTGTTCATACATATTAGACATCTACAGATTAGTGACTTTTGATCATCGATCACATATCATTCTGAGTAAACGGATATCACTGCATTGACATATAGGTATATGTTTTATCGAAACGCAGTAAAATGGGATGCAATGTTACGTCTAAACTCTAACAGAATATTGCACGAATAATGGCACTTTTTCGCTGTATCTACTTTTCCTTAAGCAGTGGTATATGTTTATTACACATTTTCTTGCTTATATCACAGTAATTGGCTGTTTCGTTTGATTAAGAAATTGTGTGGCTCCATGAAATTTTACTTTCGTAGTCGCAGTCCCTTTCCCTGTATCACTTGGGTTTATGTGTCCTCCAACAGCTGGTCTATCTGCCTGTCCCAGCCGCTGACAATGCTGAGGTCACTGACCTGACCTCTACCCTGGGTCAGCTTACAAGTCACACCGTCCCGCTGCTGGTAGTTACTGACCCTGCCGATAGAGGTCTCTGGCTGCTCGAACGGGAGCTGAATAGATCGGAAGAGTCGGTGCTACGTAATTCGGTGCAGCAGCTGGTTATTCGGTTGAACTTTCAAAGGTGAGAGGAATGATTAGATGTTATTCGCAGAATGAAAGAATCCAAAGGTACTGTTCAGCGATTTTATCGTTTTTTTTAAGTGTGGTGTTGTTCTAAAGCAGTTTTCAATAGAAGTGTTTGACAGAAACAGCTCGATAACGCCTGGAACACCACCGGCCTCTACCCAGCTGAACCAAATATCTTCTAACTAATTCGATCTCCATTTACAGATACCTACCAGTTGCCAGTCACAGCGCATTCTACCGAAATATCTACGCCATCTTCCGAAGACTACAATCACTAGGGTTTTACCCTTTTGCCCATGAGCCTAACTACTTTACTGAAGATAATGTGACAGTGGAGGGGCTAGAGAATCGTGTGTACCCTTCAATGGATATCGGGTGGATGAGAACAGCGTGTTTTCCGTATGATAGTTCTTAATTGTTCCGTTCGAAATGGGTCTGCTGTATGAATACGCATAAATAATAATATAAGTCTAACGTTAGAGTCCGAACTTTTCTGTGTTCTCCTATTCTCCTATATCTATTCTTATATAGAGAGAAGTTGCTACCAGTACCAGCTTATTATTGCGGTAGTGAATTTACCTTAGTGTTGTAGACTGGTCTTCCGCCCATCTTCACATTTTATCACGGCCACGGCCAGCACTGCAGGTCTCATGAGTGAGCCTAAAATGTCCACTTTCATCATTAGTCATATTAATTATCTGCTGTTCTTCGTGATATCCTTGTACCGTTCGTTGCCTAACTACAAACTCGAAAAAATATATTTAATCGTTTTGGTGGCAGGACGGGGTTGTTCGTTTTGTGCTAGTTTATGTTTAAATGTCGGTAGATTGAGGTTGATATACTATATAGGACTTCGTATCTTTTCGTGTACTTGCTGCATTTTACTGTACCCGCAACTGCACCCTTAGCTATTTCATGCATAAATGAAGACCATACTTGGAAACTGAACTTATCAGGGGCGGTTAAAGATACTTCGCTGTAGAAAGTTAAACATGGCGCATGTTTAAAAATTCAGTAGATATCACAGCAGGCATGTGCTGATTGCGATGACACCTGAATCGACCGTATTTTACACATGTCGTAACTCGTAACCACAGCAACAACGCTACATGCCGCTGAGCCTTTCACTTGTGCTGCAACTGTCGTGGAGTGAGCATGCTTCACAACCTTGCGTTGTGTATCTGATCTTGGTCACGCTCCCCTGAAGACATCACCATAGCCTGCAAGTCCCTCCGTGGCCTACAACAGACTCGTGATGGCCGTCCAAAGGAAGCTATTTCTTCTTTGGAATTCAACCGCCGCCCCGGAACAAGATGATTCTTGGAGGCAAGAGATCAACATCACAGCAATCCACGATCCTCCGTACTTCTCCATCAAACGTCTGGCGAACGGCTCACACAGCTTCGGCGGATACATGCACGACGTGTGGCAAATTATAGCTGCCAATATGGATCTCAAGTACCGCATTATTCCATGTCCCGGAGGAGGATATGGTGTTCTGGACTCGAACGGCACCTGGAACGGCATGGTGGGAGAGCTAGCTTCAGGACGTGCCCACCTGGCGCTGAACGGGTTGTTCTACAATCGCCAGCGAACCAGCGTGGTGGATTACGTCAGCTCGACGCCACTAGACCAACAGCAGATCAGTTTCTTTGTGCGTCGCGGGTCACGCGCGATGCCTACCTTGTCGGCAGAGTTGTTCGCAGGTCTTCTCACACCACTCGATAACACCGTCTGGTGGGCGTTGCTTGCCTCGATGATCGTGCTGTGGTTGGCCCTCTGCGTGACTTTGCGTCTTGGAGACCGCCGTACGCAGGATCCTCAATCGACGAACGATCTTCACTGGACCCTGTGCCCGTTATTCATCTACAGCACGATAGTGTGCCAGGGGTGGAGTATCGTCCCTGAGGTCCTCTCCGCTCGCACTGTTACCATCTTCAGTTGGATACTCGGCCTCATCATCTACACCTCCTACACGGCCAACTTGATCTCCCACTTGGCGGTGGACCGCATGCAGCGACCCATCAACAGTCTAGAGGAGTTCTCCAAGCTCCCAGACTGGTCTCTTGCCGTGGAACCTGGCACGAGCCTCATCAGCGCATGGAGATACAGTCACAATCCTTACGAGCGACATCTGTACAGTCGAGTCCTGGACGGGAAGAATCTGGTGTATCTGAACGACTCCGAAAGCGCTGTTCAGCGGGTTCTGAGACCTCGGGTTCTCGTGGTCAGTCCCCTGAATCGGCTATTCCACTGGCTCGGAACAGATGGATGCCACTTTGTCCCACTTTTAGATGTTGAAGCGTACGGTAAGAAACCAGTCTTCTTGGCGCTTGCCAAGAGAAAAAAGAAACTACGACTGGCGCTCGATCGCCAGCTATTGAGACTCAAGGAGCTGGGTCTGCTGGACGAACTGTGGAGAAAGTGGATAGACGTAGACCCCAGCATGTGCGAAGTACCGTCAGGATACCGTGCGGTGTCTCTCACTGATCTCGCAGCCGTTGTTCTTGTAGTTGTTTTCGGTGTGGTGTTCAGCCTGGTCGCACTAGCGGTAGAGCTGGTTGTGTTTAGAGCCTGTCACGCGTGCAGGACTGCAAGATGTCGATGTGTTAGTCGCTCAGGTCGGGCTGCGATGGCAGCATGGGGGCCGGAAGCTAAAAAGGGAATGAAAATGAGACCATGATGAGGGGATGTCAGGACGTCGTCACGGCACGTTTTTCTGACGGCGCATCGCGTGTCATTTTGGCATCATGTACATTTTACGTATATGATCATTTGAAGTGTATATTTGTGCTCTGTTCTAAGACATTTTAATATCAATATGTATATTATATAATATGACATAATTTTCACACGGCTGTTTGGCGTAGAAGTGTCCATCACCCTTCATTCTAGATAAATGCTTACAATGGCTCAACCATGAAATGCAGTATGAACATCAACCATATGCTAATGTGCACATGAATGAATTAACTATGAAGTGTTTACTACACAATGAATACACATCCGCCACCGCCACAAGAATGAACGCTCCTGTATAGCAAACGTAGTACCGGCACCCCTACATGGGGTAATGATAATACGTTAACCCGCGCGCCGCTGGGGATCCTGAATTTCCACGCCCTGCTGGAGGTGGAGGGGGGGGGGGTGTTTTCACGCCCCCTTCTAACTTGGCTCCTAAGCCACGTAGCTATAGGTACACGTAAGGCGGCGTTTGAAAGAGCGTCAAAATTAATGACGAAATCACTTCGGTCACTTTTTGGTCAGGTCAAAGGTCAAGTCACCAAAGGTCATTGAAGGCAAAATTTCGCTGATTTCCAGATCGAATGTCGACAATTTTCAAGAAGCCAACGCATAACTCAGGAACGAATAGACCTGTATCGCCGCGGAAAATTGCATTTGATGGCCCTATTAACGTCCTTTCTGAGCGCTTCCCTCAGATTTGACCTAACGTCAACGGTTTTGCCTGCAGGGGTCAAAACTACCAAAGTAGACTATTTTTGCGGAAACAGTTTTTCTTCAATAACTTTTCACCCAAGCCTTGTTCAAAATTTCTTTTACCGGCATCATGTTTCTCTTGTCAAGACGTGTCGAATGAATTATAAATTTTACCTCAGGTCAGGGTCATGTGTTATCCAGAAAGGGTCATGTTGCATATCAGTTGATCCTTTTCGTCGAGCTGAACACATACAGGGCGTTTTCATCGCTTTAGCATGCCTCTATCAAAAGTTATTCGCAAAAAAAACTGTTAGATAGCCTTCGTGACCAGAGATGACCTCAGGGTCATAAACAGGGGGTGGATCTTAAGTGTATCTTTGACAAACTGAACATGCAAATGGCTTCCGTGACCCGTTTATGACCTCAGGGTCATAAACAAGGGTCACGGGTGCCATTTTCATCTTCAGTGAGTCAAAGATACTTAAAATTCATTGTTTGAGAGGGTTTGTAATGACGTTGGTCCAAAAGAGGTGCCTTTTTATTTTCTCCCATTGACTTATAATGGTCGATTGACCTTACCTTAGGTCACCGATATCAAATTCCGAGACATAAATTTTGCGCATACTCAGTCTTATCAATTGCTCTTATCAATGCTCTTATGCTCTTATGCTCTATGCTCTTATCAATCGCTGAAAGTTTCAAAGCAATCGATCACTAGGTGTAGCTATGGCAGGCATTGAAACTTTTTATAAGGTGAGCTGACCTTAATGATCTTGGTCTACAATTTTCACAGCATGTGTTTTGTGTAGAATAGATGTATGATAAGTTTTTTTTTAGATATTAGCAAAAACCGCATGGGATGTTCAAACACCCCCCAGCAGGGTGCGGGTTAAAATTTGCACCTCTGCCCAGGGCGTTGGCTCATAAATGTGTCACGCACAGCATGCCAGCGGCCAGAAATAGTCGATGACCCAGCTCCGCCCTCCTACAAGCCTGCACTAACGCCAACTTCTATCGTCTCGGTCAGAGGTGGAAGAGAAAATCGTCATGATTCTTACAAATGGAAGCATAAAATGAGTACCAAATAACATAGGTTATCAAAGCTGCATTTGGAAATCAATAAAGCAAGAATGTACCTTGCGGCAAAACGCTGTTAAAACAGCCATGAATTATCTGTGATTTGTGATAGATAATTGGGACGGAATGTGGAGCAAAAATAAGAATGAAGTGCTGGAAACACTGAACGCTAAAAGAGAATTGTTTTGATAGGTGAAGGTACGACACGTATTTGGTTTACGAATGTAATTTCTAAAACACACAAAAAATATGCCGTGGTGAGTGTAACTTTATTTGCACCTGCGAGAACTATGAAGAAGCGTCAGCTATCGATTACACTTCCGACTAGCCCGGCCCTAGTGCTTCTGTATGCGGCCCACACGGCAGCCATAACAGCTCAAGGCTGGTATTCGCGGCCCTACCCCGCTGCGCCGCTCCTCCGACGAAAATGACGTCACCCTAGACCTCCCCCCTCCCCCACTCCCCCGCAGCGCCCCGCCGACGCCGCGAGACCGGCCTGGCACAGCTCGGCTAGGCGGAGTCTGAGCTTAGTCGTGCAGCGACGACCGTCTCAGCCGTCTCCGCAGCCGCCGACATCGCTACTATTTCGCTAGAGTCATTCGTGAGGCGCAAACTCGTGAATTGAAACTACGTGATCCTTCCGTGAAGAAGTTCGTGAGTTTATACGTGATCGTAAGATCGTATCATCAGAATGCGTGTCGCCGCCGCCGCCGTGCTGATGCTGACGCTGATGGTCGTCAGCACGCCGACATCAGCGCTCGAGTGCTACGCCTGTCGCATGAGCAAGGACATAAGCACCGTCAAGCTAGCGTCCACGCTCACTCAGGGCTTGGCCAAGTTCCCCACCTGTGACGTCATGGACAAGGAGGGGCCGTCGGATAAGTTCAAGCAGACCTGCGCAGCGACTGATCGCTCCTGCGCCAACATTGTCGACCCAGACGATCCAGCCAATCGGGTCAGAACCTGCTTCCCTCTGGCTAAGGATGACTGCAAGAACACGGCTTGCTACTGCACAACAGATCTGTGTAACGCAGCCGGAGGTGCCTTCGCGTCTGTGGTGATGATGGTTGCGTCGTTGGCGCTGTTCCTGCTGGTGGGATGCTGAGCAGAGGGCTGGTCAAGCTGGAGAAGATGTTGGAGGGGATGCTGTTGATGTTTGAGGGCGAAACTCTGGTGCAATGATGCTTTGGGCTGATAAAAAAGGACGCTACTTTGGATGCACGGTGGTTGGGATCAATCAGTATTCATTTGGGAATGACAATATCTGGAAAATGATGAAAAAGACGTCTTCCCAATAGAAACGAAACTGCACCACTGACTTCCAGCTGAAGCGATTCATATGTGCCGATAGGACTCTGAAACAAACTTGCAGATGCCACTGTTCCTTTAAGATGTTGTTACTTGTGTTGGTGCCGCAATAATCCAGAAAATAATGGACATGACGCGTGCGATTAACAAGATCAGTCCAGCAAAAGCTACCAGCTGGTTGTCAGCCTTCTACGTCTAAGATCGGATCCCGATATTAGAAGGCTTCGTTTGCTGTCAGATCAGAATGAAACTTTATAACAAGCCATCGTCGTGAGTGATTGACTGTCTTCCGTGGAATTGACTGTCTTCCGTGGAATTGTCTGACTTCTGTGGAATTGTTTATTGATTTATTCTATGAAATATGACTGGGCTGGGGCTGGTCAACGCGAGTGCCGAAACTGCGATGTTCCAACCGTTCCAATTTGGTTCTCATAAAAAACTCCCGTGAAGAAGCGAGCCCTGAGCAGATGAGACACAAGATGAAGTGAGAACTTTACCCGCGCTGACAGCTATTGATGATAGTACTCACGAGGTGTGAAAATCAGCATAGCTGAACTTCAATGGTAGACGAAGACTACAGTGGTGTAGAAAGTTCGTGTTGGCATTGGAATTTGGAGCGTGAAGAGCAAACGAACAATTAAAATGCCCTTGAGCATACATCCTTTCCATGGAGTGCAGGCTTCGTGAATGTGCATATCGCCATTTGCTATCATGAATTCGACATGATCTTTTTAGGAAACAAAATGAAGTTCGGAAAACAATCTTTAGCCGAATGAAAGATGTGAACTAGCCAAAAAGTCTTGGTCTTTGTTAGCCTCGCCAAGCCTCTGTATCGGTATTACGGCTTTAGTTTTCAGTGAATTGGTATTGCAAACCCTTTCCGCTGTGCAGTCCCGCAGTCAGGAGCTGAATGTGATGCTGAATGCTGACGTTTGCCGTCCTGCAGCGCTCCTTTTATGCAGCATGACCTCATCTTGTCTATGGTAATCGCTAGCTGGTTGTTTACGTAACGATTCCCGGATGAATCGTGATGTCTGTCCAGTGTCTTTTCTGCGCCCTTCAGCAAAGACCGATTTCATGTAGGTATGTCGAAGTTACAGGTGTTCAGACTTCAGTCACATCAATGCCTGTATGCAATACTGGAGCTCACACCAATTTCCTTTGTACTTATGATACGGCTTCGGTAATCATGCATTGTAACGCGAGACTTAAAAAAATAAACAAACATTGAGTAGTTTTGTTTGAAAACACTCTAGCTGTTCGATATTCGAATCTCCTTGTTCCTTGAGTGCAATGAAAGTGTTGGCATAGGATAACCGATAAAATAGATTGATATTTTATCAAAAAGTAAATTTGAAAAAAAAAATATTCCTTCACCTTATCTCGACGAATCATGTTATCCTTCCTTGTTATGCTGGCATTTGAACGAATACATGGGACATGAGTAGATACGAGTGTTTTAAGTATCTAAGCGATAGCCAACCCTTCACTTTCGGTTCAATTGCTCGTAACAAGATAAATCTGAGATTGTTGTCGCACCCGGGCTGTTCGGGTGCACCATGTTAGACGTCGCTGCACACGGTGCACAAGGCCGGTGCAAGACCTTGGCTGGCAGCCATCAACAGAACTCGGTTGCAGGTTGCACTAACGCTGCAGTATGGGCTAGCGCACGTCAAAACAAGCCTGGTGGTGATGAAGAGTAGGGGTGGGGATAGGCGAGAGCGAGGGGGAGG